CCGCAGTCAATCGCAATGGCTTCAGCCATTGCAAGTTTCTAGTTTATTTTATTATCCAAATTTGAAAATAGCCACAAATGCTAACTTGAGATTGTAAAAGAAAATATATATTTTCAACTGAGAGCTTGCTAGAATTAATTTATGGGCAATACTTTGCAGAAAAAGGCTCTGAGCGTGATGTCATGGTGGTACAAAGATATTATATTATTACAGGACCCTAACAGGAGCTTGTAGACAAAAGGGGCGGAGTTATTTTTTTGTTCCAGGAGAAACTGATATTAGTGTGGATGGATCTAGAAACAACTACAGGTCTCTGACTGATGAGGGAAAAGTTGATTTTCATAATGATAATTGTCATTGGAATGTTATTTAAGTTATAATTTTAGTAAATCACATGTGGCTAAAATATAAATTGAATTCACTGTTGGCTACGGCCAGTCTGGACGGAGAGGGCTGTTTGAAGAGGGCCTTGTGAGAATATGAGAATTTTGATAATAAAAACATACCCAAATCAAGACACATTCCCCCATGTATAATGATATATTTGTTTGCAGTAAGTAATGATATAGAGCATCTCACACCTTCTAGACTCCAGCTCAAAATCTTTTTCTCTGAGTCAGCCGTTTTGTTCTCTGCCTTCAGGGTCGTTCCTCTAATTTTAGCAGCGCAGCAGGAGCAGATGGGAGGTTCTTTTCCTTGTAACTCTCATTTGCAAGTCAAAAATGTCTTGTGTATTTCACCTTATCCTGTCGGCTCGCCCACTTTGATCGGGTGATGCAGCCGCGGTAAAGAAGTGAAAGTCGGGCCGGTGACGAGACTGAAGTCTACATTCAAATTATTCATGAAGCTTTGATCAGGTTTTGATCAGATTTTGATCAGGTAAAGTCATTGTAGAATTTGGCCTAAGTAACTTTGTGACTTATCGTATTGAATAAGGCACTATAAGACACCCCAAAGAACAAATATTAAGATTAAGATATCCTTTATTAACCTCCCCCAGTGGAGGAATGAGGAGCACACAACACAGGAGAAGTGAATATCATGTTGCTCTTCATCTTCATAAAATGTTTTTAACCCTTGTGCTATCCTTGGGTCAAATGAACCCACCACAGTGATTAAAAAATACCCTAAAAAACCCTTTTCATTTTGGCATTTCCCATAATGCTTTGCACATTAGGGGATCACTCATTGAAGCTGTATGCTGTAAAGTCACACACTGTGTAAAATGTGCAGTGGGGGGTGTAGAAGTGTGTGAGTCCTGATGAGAAGGCTGAGGAGGGAACCCACAGGGAGTTTGAAACCTCACCCACTTTAAACACCGGCTTCAGTGTTTGCTTATGTTATTGTAGCTGTGGCGTAAAACTATGTGTTATTGGTTTAAAGGGACGTCCACACTTTTTAGTAAGACATCCAGGGGCCGACAATCTGAATTCGGTTGTTCCTACATTTTTTAAGATGGATTCAGGTTGAGAATTAAAGTTGAGGTACCTAACTTTTTCCCCCTTATAAATTATACGATTTGTTTGTTGCAACAGAAAGTGTCTTGAGTCTCAAACAACAAATAATTTTATATTCTTTTGCATTCTTGTAAGAAAGACCTCTGTGAGTCACAAATTGATTCTTTGGGCTAGTAGCTGATTGATTCAGCAGTGTTGGGCACGTTACTTTGAAAAAGTAATTAGTTATAGTTACTAGTTACTTCTCCCAAAAAGTAACTGAGTTACTAACAGAGTTACTCCACTATAAAAGTAACTAGTTACCAGTAAAAGTAACTATTGCGTTACTTTTTCGTTTTGTTCTGGAACATAATGTGCACCCGACGTGCGCATTTTTACCTTTAACAGTGCCAATATTTCCATCTAGAAAAGTCTGTTTTGCTGCTGAAGTCCTGTTCACTCTTCATCTCTCTCTGTGCTGTAAGCACTAAACACCAACACCCGCCACTGTGAATGTGGAAACACCGGTGAAGCACTGACTTCAGCCCAATCAGACGAACATATACATCATATAAATCAAGTGGACAATTTGTTTGGCTACAGAAAAATATGTTTTATGCCCGCATTGTTTGTTCATACAAAACGCAAAACTATGAGTTATGGGTCTTACCTTATAGCTATACCTTATAAATGACCTGCACAGTCCACTTCGGTTCAGAGCAGTTCCTTGTTTAAATCCAGTTAATGGTTTGAGCGTAGATATGTAATCCTCCATTTGGAAATGAGTCCAATGAGTTTTAAAAAGTAAAACAAAACGCGTGTGTCCTCCGTAAACTCCTCTGTTTTGCTGCAGCCGGCTGCATCTAATTTCTAAAATCAACCGTCTTACACTTCACCTCTCTTCCTTATCATTCCTATAGTAATTGAAAAATTACCCTATGTGCATTTTAGATTATGTAAAAATGTGTTATATGTATGTTAGCCAAACCTGTTGCTGTCCTTAGCAGATAAACCAGGAAGAGCAAGGAGCTTATCGATGGAATTGTATGCAGCCGACTTCTGCGCTCACATGAGCTCCTCTGTGGCTGACCTCACGGTGATACAAGCCGTGGTTGAGCGCGATTAAGACCCATATTTGTTTCAAAAACACAATTTATGAGCCATCCTCTCAACTGTAGACATGTGGATTGTAAAGGAAATATGATTTACATCAGCCAATAATTGCTGAGAGGTTTTCTCATCCTCCCTTCTCTCATGACAACACGTTCATTGTGCGTCTTGAGTAACGCGCAGTAACGGGATGTCGGAAATGATAACGGCGTTATAGTTACTGTCAAAGTAATTAGTTAGATTACTCGTTACTGAAAAAAGTAACGGCGTTAGTAACGCCGTTACTAGTAACGCCGTTATTCCCATCACTGTGATTCAGTGAGGGTGGTCCAGTCTTTTTCACTTTGCCGTCTGAAAAAGCTGATCCAAAGATATGACAGAGACCGGTGTACACTAGTGATAGAACCAAAAGTTTTTGGACGAGGAACTAGTTAGATGAATGGTTATTGTTCTGTTGTTTTGGTTTGAAAGTTAGGTAACCAAATTTGGGAAAAGTATAATGCAGCTGACATTTTGCTTAGAATGCAGCATTATGGGTATACAGGAATCCAAAATCAGTGGGAATCAGGTATTTGTTCTTTGAATCGGTCATCTTAATTGGGACATTCATTAAGCAGATAAGACCATTCTGTCTGATTTGAATACAGAGTTGTATTGTTACTCTCAGAGTAAAAGGGGTTATGGAGTATAAACGTCAAAGTATTGCAGTCGGTATTCGACTTGGAAAAAACTCTGAAACAGAATCAAAATATATTAAAATTCCCTAGCTCTGACTGAAACTAAAATAAAGCTGCAGTTTAACAATTGAAACATCAGAACAGTTAAGACTAATTGTCTGAAGTGAGAAGATTTGTCTGAAAACTGATGTGTGAATACGTTTTTGAAGGTCATGGAAAACTTGGAAGTCTGTTTTAGAACTGTGGAAATACCAAGGGAAATTTTCAGTCAATATGAATTAGATTGGTTGTGTGTAACTCTGTGTCTGTGCTATATAAATACAGAGTACTTACGTACCTAACTGTATTCACTATTGCAGGGGTGGCCAACCAGTCAGAGACAAAGAGCCAATTTTTTACTGTGTTACAGCAAAGAGCCACATCATACAAATGTGCACTACATAAACATCACCCCAACCCTTACACACGCACGCACACGCGCACGTACTGTACGCACACGAGCAGACACGCGCACACACATGCAATCTGTCTGAGCAGAGAGAGGTGTGCTCTGCTCAGACAGATTTATTGTAAATGTCATCAACATGATAATGACAGAAATTGACTCGTACAGCACTAAAGGTCTGGACTCTCCCTGGTTTGCGGGCGCTTCCACCGCTCGCTTCAACCGCTCCCCGGTACTTTTTATTAATGGTTTGGCCCTGGTTCTAACCGGGCGAGTCGATACCAGAACAATTTCACGTCAGCGAACATCAATTATGATTTCGAAATGAATGCTTTCAATCTCTAACCAAGAAAAAAAAATCAAGTTTCAACCCAGTGTTCAGCAGAAACACAACTGTCTTTAGTAAAAGATATAGATTTGACACATAACACCAACACCACTTTAGCTGATTTAGAACCACAGACACATGCTCAGTATAAGACCAGATAGTTTTGCATTTGATTGAAGACAGACACTCACCAGGCAGAGTTGGCTTATCTCCTGGTGTAATGCTAGTTGTTGTTAGCTGGTTTTAGCATGTTAGCCGGTGTTAGCCGATGTCCGTAAATGTAATCCATTTGGTCAAACCACCTCCAGACTTTTCGGGTCTGCCTCTACTTCTGCTGCTGCGATCTTTCATTTCACGGTTGTCACTTTTAAGCTTTTTAACTTTTCTCTGCATTGTCATGTTTGTGGGAATCATCTGCTCCGTCCTTAGTGCTAGCTCCACAAACACCTTCTGGTTTCTGGTGGAACCAGCGAGATCAGGCTGGTGTCCTCTCCTCAAACTGAGGAAGGTGTTGCCCTCATCCAGCGACCAAGGAATTGTTTTCCGTACGGACGTCATGGTTCGAGGCAACGTGTTGTTTGTTATGATATTTGCTACAGCTGAGGTAGCAGCTGCAGAGTGATTGACAGCGCATCTGACCAACCAGAATTGACGTTCGCCGACGTCAGATTGTTTTGGTGGCCTGGCTAGTGGAGTGAAGTCGGCCTTTACTATTGGTCAGAACTACATATGGAATGAAAGGCAGCGCCACCACCGAGGCGTTTTTGACGCTTGTCGAGTGAAAGCCCGAGAGCCGCACGGAACCAGCCAAAGAGCCACATGCGGCTCACGAGCCGCGGGTTGGCCACCCCTGCACTATTGCATAGTTTATCATTAACAGCTTTCAGAAGTAGTGGTTTAGTTGTTATATTGTGTTGAAAAACTTTCATATCACTTAATTTGAAATTCTTGTCTTTGTTTTGTGTTACAGTGAGCAGAGCATTTGCCAGGCGCGAGCCTCGGTCATGGTTTACGATGACACCAGTAAGAAGTGGGTCCCGATCAAACCAGGACAGCAGGGCTTCAGCCGCATCAACATCTACCACAACACTGCCAACAACACCTTCAGAGTGGTCGGGGTCAAGCTGCAGGACCAGCAGGTAAAACAGGACTAGACCAGGACTAGACCAGGTCTAAACCGGGACTGAAGTAGAATTGTTGTTATTGCCATTGTAAGGAACAGGCTGTCATAAAATATAGAATTGATTCGTATATGGTGCAGACAAGTAAAACAAAAAAAGCATGCATCGTCTTTAATGTCAGGACTAAATCAGGATGAAATCAGGACTTGTTTAGAAATTGCTAAAAATCTCTAACCAGGGACTATTGCATAGTTTATCACTAAACCAGGACTAAACCAGGACTCCCGTCTGAATCATGTCTGCATGAACTAGGGCTTCCAGCCTTTTAGAACAATATATTCATCCCTTTTTGCAGCGCACAAACATTTCACTGCTAACGACCAAGATTGCAACATGCACCAGCTATTTTTGGTTCTGGATTCGGAGATGCGCCTTTTGAAGTAACTTGAATAAAACGGGCGTCATCAATAAAGAAGCTGCAAGTGTGTCTGTGTTTAGCTTGGCGTTTTGTGTCAGAACTCAGTGCTGGAAAACATGTTATTAAGAAGGAAATGAAGGTGAATAAAATAACAAAGAACAAGATGAAATACAAGAGCAAGGAAATCTATCCAGGAATGCACGGTACGTCAGGCTGAAAATATGTGAGGTGGGTTTTAATGAGCCAGGATCAAACCAGGACAAAAGCATGCAGTGGAATAACTAATACACCAAAACTAAAATCAGGTTTAAGTCAGGACTTATAGGGACAATATGACATTATAAATCTACATATTTTATTCACCTAGATTATTGTCCCCAGATTATGGTTCAACATGTACAAATCATACTCAAGTTATTTCATAATAGAAAATACAATGGACATGTTTTCATGTGGCATTATCCGATCAGAATTACACTCTCATTTAGATTGCCAGTTTGTTTGGTGAATTTTAATTATTGTTATTATTTTCCTTTTTACTAAATTATCAACAAAACTAGCACGGGACATGAAACCAAGCAGGTCGATTGCATCAGTAATCAGTGCTTAGGATCTGCATGCATCACAGAAAGTTGGATTGTAATTGTAATGGATTTTTTAGACCAGTAAGAGTGAACATTACATTTTGTTCATCCCAACAAAAAGTCCCTACTTAATTAATTGATTATAGCCCTATATTGAATCTCCAAGGGACCCAACTCCAGATGATGAGTGTCTGGATCGGAGCTGGAGGATTTTGCTTATGGGGCATGTTTTGGGTGGTGGAGGAAACCAAGCAACATACAAACACGTACAGAAAGACCAGGCTTACCCGGTTGCTCATGTTTATCACCGTGTCATAGCATGTGCACTTTTGTAATCATGTGTGCAGGTGGTGATAAACTACTCCATTGTGAAGGGGCTGAAGTACAACCAGGCCACGCCCACATTTCACCAGTGGAGGGACGCACGGCAGGTCTACGGCTTGAACTTTGCCAGTAAAGAAGAGGCCACCACCTTCTCCAACGCCATGCTCTTTGCACTCAACGTCCTCAGTGCGCAGGAAGGTGAGTGTGTGCAAACCAGTGGGGGCGGGTCCCGGCTCCAAAAGGTCCATGAGAATGTGCGCTGACTCCTAGCCGGTGGGGGTGTACCCGGAAACAGAATTACCCAATGTTTTTATATGCGCCTTCTTTCCTCTCAAAAATGTCTTTACAGGGTGATCCAAAAGTCGGTTCTTGGACCAACACTACGTTCCAGATGTGTGTCAATGCTGAAGGGGGTATTATTATTTTGGATCAGCCTAGTTCAGCCGCTGTGGACTTCAGAATGCACTCGATAAATTAAAGGGGGCTCATGCCGGTGTTCTGCCGGTTTGTGTCGCTTATGGAGTTGCTGCCTCAGCTGTTTATGACGTAATGCAAACCTGCGCATGCCCGTTTCACAGCAGCCGAAGTGAACAAAGATGTCGGACAAAAGTCAGTGAATTGTATAAAAAGTTTAAACACGAACAAATAAAGACACTAAGTCACTTTTAATGCAATTTGAGACGAGATATTGATGGTTCTATGTTTTCTATTATGTGGATTTTAAGAGTAAAGTGATGTCTAAGGCTATTTTTTAGATAGCACCAACAGGAGACTAACTTGCCAGACTCATTACAAAAAAAAAAAACTATTCTTGGAAATAAGTTTCACGTCTACGCTTACGTCCCAAGAACGCAGTGGTGTAAGGGGGGTCAGATAAAGGTTGCTTGGACACTCAAGCGGTGCCCTTTATAGCAGCAGCAAACATTATGATAATGAGGCACACCCCTGTGCTTTTCAGTCACGTATATACATTACATGAATACAGTGACCTTTTTAAAATTCATAATTTGATTTTCAGAACCTCGGTCAGACTGGTTACAAAGACTGAGCCTAAACTGCTGTGTTTTTTCTTACTTACCAGAAAAATACGTTTTCTATCAGGGTTTATTTAGATTCTCTCCTATCTTTTGCCTAGTGTTTTGCCGACACCTTTACTGTCTTCTGCCTAGTTTTATTTCAGTCCTCTATATCGCCTTTTGCCTAGTTATTTCGGTCCACATCTTCTTAGCGACACCCAAAACCAGCGACCGCTTCTGCTGCCAACATCACAAAGAACTGGCAATAACTGAAAACCTGGTTTTAATTATTTATTAAACTTGTGCTCACATACTCAGTAAGAAATAAATAGGATACAAATGAAACAGAAATACACCTTTTGAAAAGGGATTGGACGAAGCAGACGCATATTTGGCTCCAACCTTCTCACTCATTCAAGACAACACACAAACACACAGACCCGAGCACTCTCCGACCCTACACCTCTCTCCCATCATGCACCGAGGGTATCTCTCTCTTTGGGTAATTGGTGCTAAACATCTCCCTAAATACCTTGTTAAGAATCAAGTGAGGCCAGCTTTAGTGAATCAAAGTTCAACGTTCTCTTTATTGTTCCACCAGGGGAAACACAGTACGATCACAAACAACAAGAAGATAGCAGGAGCAAGAGGGGACGTTACAAAGCTAGTTTAAGTGCAATGTGTGTGCAACAGTTTGTATAAAGTGCTACATGCTGTTAAGGTGCTTCACTGCTGTTGGGATAAGTGTTGTTCCCAACCCTTTTGTCCTCCATCCAGGGGGTCTTTAACGCAGTCCTGGGGGTAAAATTTGAAACGCGGCCTCAAGGGGTGGTCCAAAGAACTAATCATAGAATTATCAATACCTGAAAATGTGGTACCTGCTTAGACTCGTTGCAAAGACCTCAATGACTTTCATGAAGCAGCCCTTAAAGCACTGTTACCTAAAGAGTCTATATCTGAATTTCTTCTAGCAGTGTCGTGTGAAAGCAGCTACACATTATATTGATTAGAAAATTGACTATTGTCTGTCTTGACAAATTAAGAAATATCAAGTGGAGCCAAATCGCTTTGAAATACTTTTGTGCACTCAACTTTGAAACAATCCTTCTTTTCTCGCATGGTTTTCCTCTGCAGATGATGACGCATTGAGGATAGCTTCTTCTAACTTGGGAGGATTTTGAACGCTTTCTAATATTAATATGGCGCTGATGAATAATGGATAGTGAGAGTGTGAGTGCAGCGGAGCAGATCTGACAGACTGTGTGATTTCAGCAGAGCTCGGTCAGGCTGAAGCTCATTCCCGCCATGATACTGACTTGTGCTGTATTTTTGAGGAGGTGTGTGGTTTGCTCCCTTTTTAGAACTGAATAAACAATAATAAGATGTTTTGTAAACTATAGCGATAATGCAAAATGGTGAAGTTTTCAGAGTTGTGAGATTGGGTCCATAAATTCTGTTTTAGATTGTACTTGCTTCAATAACTTTTCTCTTTTTCTTGTATGATTATTAAACAATACAATTTATTCAACAGGACTTAACAAAACCATTCACCAAAACAGATCAGAGAATCAACAGTTAAAGCACAAAAAATACACATATGTATTGGTCCATAGGGAGAGACCAATGTCCATGAATGTTGGTAAATGTCCATTATTATATGATTTGTAGTAGTAGTAGTAGTAGTAGTATCAGTATTCCAAATTATCAAAAATCTTCTGGCTGTTAATTTGTATATTTCAATATTTTTTTCTGAATTCTTTTGTACAAACATTAGCAGAACTTGTATCCTCCATTATAGATCCTATCATTCAAAACTTAAAATATTTCTGTAGATTATGGCTTTTGTGCATATAAAGGCTGAAAATAAATGGTAAGATATTATACAAAATATTTAATAAATAAATTCCATGTAACTAGTTCCTTGCTGTGATAACGGTCTGGTTCTATCACTCGTTTTCACCTGTACGTAGTCTGTCACATCTATAGAAAGCTTTTTTTCAGACAGATAAGTGAAAAAGACACCCTGACTCAGAGATTTTGTCAGCCCAAAGTATGCCACAATAACATTTTTTTATTACACAAAGGCGGCATATTAGGGTCTGATGGGTTCTGTGGGATAAACGTAATGTACTAATTGTGAAAATAAATCTAGGTCCCCAGATTTAATTAGAAAACATTTGTGAAAGACCAGATTCAATGTCTTAACACTGAAGCCTTAACAATTATTTATTTGCACTTTACATCATGAATCCTAAATTACCTACATTTCTAGAGGATCAGGATCAATTCCCTCTCCTCCTCAAATGAACTATCCACTCATAAGTACAGCAGCCACAGCAGCAAAGTGTCTCCCCCTACTGGCTCCATCAGACACTACAATATTATTTTTTAATGTATTTATTTTTTTACTGCATTTTGAAAGGTTTTGTTGCATTTTCCCAAGAAACATGAGTTGATTAAGTGTATGATTGATTAGTAAATGTTTCTCTCTTATACCTTTTTCTAGTAGTACAGTGGACAGTGCTTACTCACCAGCTCTATGAAGCTTATAGGGAAGGGCTCACAAGGTTTTGCTCCTACACTCACTTTGGCTTCATTCATATTGAAAATTAAGCTCTGTAATTGTTGGGGTTACAGTAAATGTTAGTTGAAGATTAAACAACGCTTTAGTTTAACATACTACATTGTCTTGATGTTCATATTTTGATCATGTTTTTGTAAATCCAGAAATGACTGACCATCCTCAAATTTGTCTTTGGCTCCTAGATGCACAAAGGTAAAACATGGGCGACGTCAGCTTTCGGGGTTTGTCCACTGCTTTCTTGCTCAGATGCTAATAGTGGAAGCATTAGAAGAGTCAGTTACAGAGAACGTTTGCATAATCGGAGAACATTTAGCCAAAGTAAAATTATTCAGATTTGTTGTGGGGCGACAGTGACTCAGTTGGTAGACCTTCACTCCTTCAGTTTGTACTTGGGCCTGAAGGTCTGGGTTCGATCCCACCATGAGACCTACTACATTGACTCCTGATGTCTGCTGTCATTGTGTCCTTGGACAAGACACTTAACCCCACTTAAGCCCCCGCTGAAACATCTGGTGGCAGAGGTTGATACAAATACACATTTTCTTTCTCAATATAATTTTTGGTGAATATTTAGTTTTAATTTGGATCAAAATAACAATGAACCAGAGTTATGTATTATTACTAATACCTGACAATGGTCGTCTTTATTAGCGCGCATCCATGTCCAGTCCAATACCTGACCTTTTAAAACATTTACCGTGCAAGTCCGCTCCACTGCTGCTGTGGTTTGGGTTACCTGAAGATGACACCTGAGAGAGGAGAGACTGCAGGCTGGTGAGTTGCCTGGGGAGGGGGAAGTCTAGAGTGGAGATGGAGCTGGAGCAGAGCGATGGTGAGCAGCAGAGAGTGGCTTTGTCAGTGTCTGTGCGTTTGCTTTGGACGGTTCCTCTTCTTCAGCATGTCATGTAAGAGCTGTCGGCGTGTTTGTGCCTTTTCCCTCTCCTCCACTGCTCTCCATCTTTAGGCGCATAGTCCAATAATCTGTCAACGTTTTCTTAGTCCAGCGGTTCCCAACCTTTTTTCCCCTGCATGCTCCTTGCCAGCGTATAGGCGGAGCACTATCCCCTGTACCCCCGGAATCAAACTCATTCTGGTCCAGGGCCACAGCTGTTTTTAGGCTTTACGGTTTTACCATGATATCCATAATTTTAATTGTTATCTTTATTTGTTTGTATTATGTGGGTATTTTGACCAAAATATTACTAATATTCACCGTAAGTTTTATTTTTTTCTGGACGAAATGTTTGGACAGAACCAATACTGAAAGTACAAAATGCTTATTATTGGAGACAGATCAATTATTATTATTATTATTATTACTATTATTATTAATTGTGTTCTGGGTTCAATGTTTAGAATATGATCAATTATATACTCGTTTTTTTAGGATAATTGGCCATATTAACCTTTAAGTACCGACTGTATTAATCCCACGTGGATTTTGGTTTTAGTCAACCAAAAATTACAACTAATCAGTTTATCTAAATTACATGAATTTCTATGGTAATACCGCAAATTCAGAAGCCATGGAGAGTTGTTTTTTTTTTTCACCATTTCCTATTTCTACACACGTCACTTGAATCTGGAAAGAATCAAACAGGTTCTAATCAATCAGTCAGACAAATTTATTTATCCCAATTTTAAGAACCTTAACTACTCAACAGTAAAATAATAAGAAACGACAGGCACAGCACTTCTTACATGGAGCACACACTTTTGGCTAATTGCACATGTGGCTATCAGAGAACTTGAAGCACTACATGAATCCGGTCATCTATCCGCAAAAAGTGTTTTTACTTTCCTTCATTTTGTCGTCTATTCTCATTTTGTGTAATTCTTGCACTTCATCCAAGGTTTTTTACAGGCGCATTATAGTTCAGTACTCATGCAGTGTTATTTGGGCTGGAACTCAATGAATCGCAACAAACAGCTGTCAACTCATTTAGTAATTGATTTGTTGTTTTTTTAATCTTACATAGAACATGCTGAAAAGAAATGTTATGACTCGGATAATTCTAATAACTATGAAGAGAATCTATGATGACGCTCTCTGGGGGCTTCACTTTAGCTTTGTTCTGGTCAAACGTATGAAAAATTCCATATTCACTGACGTTTCAGGATCCAAACTAATCGATGAATTGAAAATATCAAAAAAAATCATTAGTTGTTGTTGAGAAATATTATTTTTTTATTCGCCCATGTCAACCGCCCCAGTCTGTAGGTTGCCCTTTTGGCTGCTTAACATAGCAAACATAAACATTATAATCACACATGGACACGCATATATACACACACGCACACGCATATATACACACACGCATACGCACATTGACATGCACACATACACTGACACTCACACACACACACACACACATTACATTTAATTCAACACTGATACACTTACATACACACGCACACATACACACACACACACACATATTACATTTAATTCAACACTAATACACACACACACACATATTGCCATGCACACATACACTGACTCACACACACACATTACATTTAATTGAACACTGATACACTTACATACACGCACACACACAAACACACACACGCACATTGACATGCACACATACACTGACACTGACACACACACACACATTACATTTAATTGAACACTGATACACTTACATACACACGCACACACACACACACACACACACACACACACACGCACATTGACATGCACACATACACTGACACTGACACACGCACACACACATTACATTTAATTGAACACTGATACACTTACATACACACGCACACACACACACACTGACACTCGAGCTGAGCTGTTGTAAAGTCGATGAGTCAGGCCTTTTGTTCGCTCCCTGTTATTTTTACCGCTGCGTCACCTGATCTTCTGCCTCCATGAACACCTCAGTCACCTCCGCAGCCTGCACTGAGCTCTTACATAAGGACCACAGCCACATGTAGGTCAACCTGCTGTAGACACATCATATTAGACTGTACAAACATCCCAACTTTTGGAGATTATCGACACCTGAGATAAAATGTAATCGTCCAATCATGTGGCGGAGTGAGTGGGACTCCCATTTCTTAGCTCATGTGTCCTCGCCTTTCACTTTCTAATCTGTAATCTTAATCTGTAAGAATTATGTCTTGAAAAATATGTGCTATAGAAATAAGTCATGATTAATTGATTGGCTTAAACATTTATGCACAGTTTATTAATTGCCGATATAAAAAATTATCCATATTCCATTTTGTAAGTAATTTAAGTATTTTAGAAATATTTTAATTGGAAATCAAGATTGCTCAATATGGGTTTTTTCAGATCTGGAAAGACTCAGACAAAGGGATGTGTTAAAATTATGTATTTTTCGTTACTGTATGTTTGCATGAAGTACATTATGTTCATTATACTGTATGGTTTTGGTATTCAGAAACGGCAGACATATGGTATACACGTAGATTGATAATTATTTATACATCAAGTCAACTTTATTTTCAAGTCACATTTCACAAAGAGGGACTTGAACATAAAACATACTTCCAAATCATAAAAATCAAGGAGAATAAAAGTTTAAAATCCCCCAGGAAGAAGAAGCAGTGGTGGAAGCAAAAGTTGAAGTAGTGATGGGAAGGAGGAGGGTTGCGGCATGAGCTGAAGCGAGGCACTGTTGAAATGCAGCCAGGTGAAGTCTGATAAAGCAGAGGCACAAGTGTGTGTTAGTGGGAGGATTGGATTTAGGTGTTTGAACCTTAGCTTTGACTCAATTTGACTGGTTTCAATATTCCACATGAGAGATCCTATAATAATTACCGTGCTGTGGTCCTCACTTCTGTTCTCATGAAGACTTTTGAGCAGCTCGTGTTGGACTTCTTTATGAGCCTGATCTCTGTGTTGATCCGCTCCAGTTTGCTTATAGACATAATAGCAGAATTGAGGATGTAATCTTGTTTGTTTTGAACTGCAAGAATTCTTTTAATTCTCTTGTCCTCATTCCTCTTGGTTTGAGCGATGCTATATGTAAAAATATGTTAGCTTTTTAACTGGCAGCTCTGAGAGAGTGAAAATCAATGAGTGATTGCGAGCACTGGATCTACTCCTCAGGGATGTATTCTGAGTCCCTTTTGAGGCTTTTTACTTGTACTTTGTAGTTCAGTTCAGTATTTGAGCTCAGAGCAACACATACATTTGATACAACAACCAAAAGACAATGTTTTTTACGTGCTATACAGAGCTCAAAAGGAGTAGGCAGAAGTAAAAAGTACTTACAGTATAAACGCCTACCCCTTTAGACATCCAAACTGCAAATTCTGCAAATAATCCATGTATGTTGATGATTATTGCTACAGCAAACGACAATGTGTTCAGCCTGATATCTTATGAGTTAAAGTCTCCCTAAAATAGCGACACTAGTGCTTGGTCGACTGCTCCCACATTTGTACACTGTGGACTGTCCTGGAGGAGCTCTTCTGATGAAATACTTTTGTTCCATTGCGCAGTCTGCCTCTTTCTTCATAATCCCTCTGTCTGCATGATGTTTTAAATTAATTACATGGTTTATCTGCGTCTCCATCTGCACATCACAGCCATGTTTAAAGGGATTACAGCAGAAGCCCTGAGGCTGATTGTTCACTGGAGGAGCTGTCACCACTGTGATCAGGCTGAACGGAGGTCTTCATAACGGATGGAGCTATAGAGTGCTTTGTTTTAAAGGAGACTCAATATGCTACAGTTTTAACCATGTTGTAATGTTGACGCCTACATTTTAATACCAGGGGTGACAAACCGGTCCTCAAAGGGCTCATGTGGCTGGAGCACATCCACCCGCTACTTCCTCAGACTTGTGCTGCTTCTCAAAGGCAGGTGTCTAGTCTTAGTCTGCTCTGGTATGGTTATGGCCTGGTCATAGTCTGGGGGTGATCTGACCAAGCTCTGGGGACATGGTCTGGCATCCTCTCACTGCCCAAATCGTGTTCCAAACGGCCATGCTCTCTGCAGGCATACAGTATGTCCTTCGTTTGGTTAACATGATGTGGCTAATTCAGAAAGATTACCCATTATTCATCATGATAATTTTAGAAGAAGAAATGGGGCTTGTCTGTTGTACTTTCTAATCAAATTAGGTTATAATAGACAAAACATGATGGTAATTTATTGTATGAGGCCTGACTGAATGAAAATATATTTAAGGAAAAGTAATGAATGCCATTAAGGCCACTAGATAAGAGAATAAATAATGCTCCCTCCATTCATAATGTACCCCCAAGGCTCCCCCATCCTCCTTTAATGACACCATATTGTCCCGTCATCCACACTCTTGTTGACATGTCCGTAGCTGCAGCTCCTTCTGAGGCGGGACATAAATGTCACTTAGGAGTTAAACTAGGATAATTTTGCGTTTTAGAAACAGCCTTTACAACTTTTGAAATTAATATTTGCCTCAAAACAATTCCAGTTGGGGAATTCGGGCTGTTTTACTAATTCAGATATTGTACTCATCAATTACACAGTTTATCTATATATGCTCGATTTAAAACATGATGTCACATTCTCAAAACAACATAAATATTCTCGTGTTAATATGCATAGTATTTGTCACGGAACACTCAGATTTGTATTCACATTTAAAAAGCTAATATGTGACTGATGAAATGACTTTGGTAGTTTGATAGAATTCAGTTAGAAAAAAATATATTGGATAAGCAAAAGGTCTAAAATCAATATCCGTTTGAACTAATGTAGTTTTTACCAATAATCTGAGCAGCAATACATCTTTTCTTGTGCTAACTCGACAGGACAATTGTACAAAATGTTAGAATAATGAGTGGTTGAATTAACGTGGCCAATCTAGAGAGAGGTTCTTTGTCATTTGCCTCATTAGTGGAGCATGTTATTAAAGTGTCTGGGATTGCGAGGCGCTAATTTTGTTAACATTGTAAAGCATGTAATGACTCATGATTATTACTAATGTCCTTGTGGTCTGTGTTTTTCTCCGTGACAGGTCCAATCGTGCAGCGCCAGGTCCAGAATGGGCCCACAACAGAGGAGATTGAAGCTCAGCGAGCCAGGTGAGACCAGATCAGGGGATTTCTAGCAAAGGGTGTTAGAGGGGACTATTGTACATGTTTTTAGAGGTAGGGGAATCTGTAGCACCTGGAGGAAACCTACGCAGACACAGTAGTAGTAGTAATCTTTATTTATATACTGCCTTTTCACTGCACATCGGAGTCTCAAAGCAGTTTACAATTGTTATTTTTGGGAGCGGGGGTGCCAGTACAGGAGGCACATGCCAGACCTATTGTACATATTTTTAGTGGTAGGGTAAACCGGAGCACCCGGAGGAAACCTACGCAGACACGGGGAGAACATGCAAACTCCACTCAGAAAGGCCCTGGTCCAACCGGGATTCGAACCCAGGACCTTCTTGCTGAGAGGCGAGAGTGCTATCCACTCAGCCACCGTGCCGCCACTCAGCCACCGTGCTGCCGTGCCGTAGTGTGGATGACAGGGAGATCATCCACACTAAAAGGCCTCGTCTATAGATGGAATCAAATAAGTGGGGGTGGGTCCTGGCTCAAAAGGGTTCATGAGCATGTGCGCTGACATGCTTGTAGTCTGACTCCTTGTCGGTGGGGGTGTACCCGGAAACAGAATTATCCAATGAATTCTTATGGCGCCTTTTTTCCTCTAAAAAACTCCAAAAGTCAGCTCTTGCCTCAACGCTACGTTCCAGATACGTGTCAATGTTGAGATGTTGCAGAGTTTTTGGATCAGCCTAGTTTAGCCTCTGTGGACTTTTGAATGCACTTGTGAAATGAATGGCATGTGTCCAGGCTGGTGCCAGCAAACACATGTGTAAATGCGATTTGTCACATTTTCCTGCGGGAGGGGCCACACACAGCCATTTATAATAAAGAAGGAGGGAAAAGTGGTGGCACATAAATTTCAACGCCAGAGATATGCATCACTACGTCCATTAATATTTGCTGTCTATGAATCAAACCCAGGACCATTGTAAATATTCTGAAGAGTAGAATTGGATTGAGTATGAATGATAGAAATAGTTACAGTGTGAGTTGTTGGCGGTTGATGATGCTTGTGGGTTTGAAAAGATCACTTTCTACTTACTCTGTTAAAACCAAACTCACAAATATGATCTAATTCCACAAACCTTCCAGCCAGACCAAAAACCATCGTAGATCCATTAATCCTCTTGTGTCTAGTGTTGTCCGTGTGTGGCCTGTTTACTGAGACATATATTTCAGATCAGAGCGATTTTACTCCCAATCTCCTCCAAACCAGAAAGTGCACTCCTGGTGAACTCAGGCACTGCTGTAAAGTGGATCAGGGTTAGTGAGAACCAAAGTGCATTCTGGGATACACTCGCTGAAGCCATGTTTTGACTGTGTGCTTTGAAAGGGTGTCTGAGACTTTAAATGGTCCAATGCCAGAGTAAGAATCTGCACCGTTTTTAAAGAAGCTTGACTATGAATTATTTGTGTTCATTGTGGTCCTTTCAATATGCGGTACCAAACTCTTATTTTTTCATGAATAATACACGTTGTTTGTCCCAACACAAAGAGTCCTGTAAAAGTAAAATGTTGTGAACAAATGAAACGACAACACAACCCACAGCCATCAGAAAACATGTTGTCTTTTGCATACCGAGCCCTGTGAGTCACTAACTGATGTTTTGGGATGAGAGCTGAGAGTCTGAGGGACAGTGGTACTCTCTGTTTCCCTTTTCTGTTTGAAAAATACATGAATGTGAGAGCTAGTAGAACCAAAGTGAGATGGATTTATTGTGGTTTGAAAGTTAGGTGCCCCAGGATAAAAAACACGACAATATTTAGTTATTTATTTATTTCAAAACCTGCACAAAACAACATCCAAACATGTTTTTAATTATCAAATTAAAAACATGTCACAAGTTTTGAAAAGGGGGTTGAGTGCAGCAGACGCTTATACATTTCCATCCCCCTCTCACACACACAGCAAAACAGCAAATACAAATGACACTAACAGTGTACAGTTACATCATTACATCACATTAGATAGACAAGACACACAAAGACAAGACGCACACTCGTTCTCTCACTCACACAGACAGGACACAGGTCCAAACACTCCCTGACCACACACCTCTCTCCCACCACTCTGTCCATGCCCAGGACATCAATCTCTGTTCCCCATATTTCTTCAATATTTCTCTTTTAAATAGCTTATTAAATGCAGTCATATTTGAGCATGTTTTTAATTCTTCTTTTAATCCAAATGTGAGCTCCTCGGACCGAGATAAACATAGATTTTATTTTTTTCCTAAATTTAGTTTTAACTTTTAGAATGTGAAGAATGTTTTAAAGCTGAGGTATCTAACTTCACAACCTGTCAAATCTTTTAATCAGATTTTTGACAGGTTTTCTGGTAAGATATCTTCAGCTTTATCTATGTGCAAATGGATTGGTTTTCTATTCCCGGTGTAGGTATTGTGAAAATTCTTAATCTTTAAAATACAGTAATATTGGTCTGATTGAGGGATTATTTCAGGATAGGATTCTCCCATTTTGAGTATAAGTTCTTGAAATGAAGATGGACATTTGGTAGACAGTCTGTTCCGCTCAGCAGCTTAGGGACCTTCACTCAAACGCTGACTCTGAGGCTCTTGTCACACTTCTCACATCAGAAAGATTTGAGGGAATAGAGAATGAAAAAGAAATGACAAGCGAAAAAGGCTCTGATTTAAGTCAAAGAATTGTGAGACGAGATGAAATGTGGTTTAAAGTACATCGACTTTTAAAGGACATATACTTCACCGTCTCACAGTAAGAAGGTCCTTGGTTTGATTCCACCTGCAGGCCTTTCTGTGTGGCGTTTGCATGTTCTCTCCATGTCTGTGTGGGTTTCCCTCCGGATGCTCTGGTTTCCCCCACCACTAAAAGTATGTGCAATAGGTCTGAATGTAATGATTGAATGGATGGATGGTGTTGGTTGGGGGTTGTGAATGAAGTGAATGAAATAATATCTGAATTCGGGATGAGCTTGGGTGATCTTGGTCCATAAGATGCGCTCTATAAATAAAGATTACATACGTATACTATGCAACATTTTCATTATCATTATCTGCACGTTTTGAAATCCAAAACGTGCAGATATATGCAAAAATGGGGCAACAGTGGCTAGATGGAGCGCTGACTATGCTCCATCTTCTCTTTCTGACTCAGCTCTTATGGCCCAAACCCCCGACCCAGAAATGGATTAAGTATGCAAAATGAATGTATACAAAAGTGTGAAAGTAGGTGATTTGCCCGATAACGATGATGAAAACGGGGAATGTCAGAGTTATGGTTTCTGGGATGCAAGAGGATAAATTATGAACTCGAAAGGAACTTCTGATAGAACTTAAATGTGCTGTTGTGTTGTTCAGGCAGATGATGGAGCAGCAGCAGCAGATGCAGGCGCACATGGAGCGAGAGCGACGATCTTCCAACTCAGGTACAAACACCTCTAACATTAATGAAGCTCTAATTGTAACTTGAGTGTGGGTAACAATGCTTCAAAATCATCTTCCTTAAGTACTGGCGATACACAACAGCAATACACAAAAACTTGATCGTATAAGTTAATATATAGGAATGCCACTCTTTTATATACAGTATGTGACAGAAATCCACTTTTAGCAGAGTGTAGACAGCCCTGTTTACAGGTTGGGGATCCTGCTGCTAGAAGTGATAGACATGTGCCGGGAAGTTTACTAGAGACTGTGCCATGAGATTAATGCGACAGAAAGAAAAACCTGTTATTCACTGCATGGTGTCATTCACATACTCAAGGAAATACACTGGACTTGGTTTTAAGACAGATCATAATATGTTGGACTGGGTGTGGATAGTAAAGATTATAGCCAAAAGCTTCAATGACGGGACTGAATACAAGTTCCCTCAGTGACAGTCTCTTTTATCACATTGTATTTTATCAAAATCGAGATTCAATTGTTCTAAATATATCATAATGTGCCGTGTGTTTCATAGAATATCAAAAACAGCAAGTAGAAGCATATTATGTCTTTTCAAGGACCAAATGTAATCATCTGTCTCTCGCTCTGTGTTGGGTTCAGGTTCTCCCTTCCAGGGCCATCCCGCTGTCCTTTCAGTGGCTCCTCCTGTGGCCCCTCCCTCCATGAACATGAGTGCTGCTCCTCCTCCTCCCCCTCCCCCCCCAGGGCCCCCTCCACCCAGTGTGGCCCCTCAGCCCCCTCTGCCTCCTCCGCTGCCCCTGGGAGGAGGTCACGGTGACGAGGCTCCAGCTGCCACAGGCCTGGCCGCCATGATCGCAGGGGCCAAACTCAGACGCGTCCAAAGAGTGAGACCTTTTTATGTTCTCATTATATTACAACTAAGCTCATATCACACTCGTTTGATTCATTCACCGGCTTGAAAAAGTATTAACACCCAAAAAACGTTTTAATTTTTTATTTTTTTTTTCTTGTTTTGACCACAAACAGAAAGATATTTTATTGGACATTTTAATAAAATAAAAATAAAAACTAGAGATACAGTAAGCCACATCAGCATTGTCAATGTTCTGGGTTGGAGTTCATCCGTTTCTAGGATGACATTGGAATAAAAGATAGTGAACGAGAATCGTAGGTTGGGCCACGCCTCCTCAAACTCGTGGAAGGCTGAAATTAGGCCAAAAATTCTGTAATCAGCAGCCAGGTTAAGAGTTTGATGTAGTTTTTACTGAAGGCCAATGACTGGTCTAATGCAGAAACAAAACGTAATAGCAGAGTAACACAAAATGACAGTTACATTTGTTTTTGTTTTTTTATAGATTTTTTATTAATGTTTTTTGTTGCAGGGAGGAGGAAGGAGGAGGGGGGGGGGCTTTTCACTTTTTAACGCTGCACACACTGGTTCCTTCATGAGCACAGGTCGTCTGCTCTGGAGTCCCCTGTGTTTAAACCATAGATGTATCAGTTTAAACGTTTGGTCAATAGGTCTATGGTTTGTGTTCAGCTGATCCTCTAGATGGCACCAGAGATAAGTCAGTGAGAGACTGATTAGATGTATGGCCACAAGTATTATTATTATCATAATAATACGGCATCTATTCATTCATACCATTCATGGTGGTACGGTCAGCTACTACTGTAGCCATAGCTGCCCTGGGACAGACTACAGAGGCTGCCAACCCGAATCGACCCCTCTGACCACCACATACACACACACCCATTCATGCACATGGGTGAAGTGTCTTGCCAAAGGACACAACGACAATGTGGCACTTTACAGCCGCAGTCGTCCCACTGTGGCGCCAGGTCTTACAGCGGTCTTCCATCACTGACATCACCCTTTAGCATCAGAGGACAGTAGCTGTTAGCCGTTAGCCTAATGACCGAACACACATAATACTCATGAGTATTAAATACTCAGAGCATGTAACTCTAGTTACTATGACTCTGTGAGGGATGTGGGTCAGAATCCAGTGTGCCGTTTGTTGTGAAAAGGGGAGGGGTTTTCGGGAGAGGGAGGGGAGGGAGGGGGGAGGGGACATAGTCTTAGTTTTTGGGGACCGTAACCAGTGGCGGTTGGTTCGGTTTGCAGACGTGTGTATTTTGACGACTGCGTCTCCACTTCTTCTGAGGATATTGTGGAGCGTGGTCCTCCTGAGGGTCCTGGATCTTCTGCTTGGAGGGGTTCTTCATTTCATAATGAAGGCGTATGTTCTCGTCCAGGGCCTTTCGCAGTGACCTTACTGCCACTGCCTTTGACTCCTTACATTTCATCAGCTCCTCGTCCATTTCTGCAACAACAAAGTTTTTCAGGACAAAGTTCTTTCTAAACTCCTCAATCTCTTTCTGAGACCTGAGCAGTTTTTCTTTCAGCTCATAATTACCTTTCCTCAGATGCGTCTCCTGGTCCTGCATCTTGGTCTTCAGTTCATCAGTATAATGTTCAGCATCTAGAAGACGAGAGTTCATAACTTCTTATGTGTTCATGTTTTTGTCTTCAAATTTTGAGAGTTCTGTGTCCTTACCTTTTATGATGGAGTCCTTCTGTCGGAAGTCCTCTTCAGCACGCCTCAGTGTCTGTTTTACAGACTCCAGTGCTGTGGACAAGTCCTGTTTCTCCTTATTCAGAGTCAGTTTCAGGGACTCCAGTGCTGTGAACAAGTCCTGTTTCTCCTCCTTCAGGATTGTGGAGAAGTTTGTGACCTCCTTGTTCCTTTCCTCATACTTGGCACAAGCGACTTCCAGGTCCTGCACCTTGTCCTTTGCCGACTGCAGCTCTGCGCTTGTTACTTGTAGAGACAGTTGGATGCTGTTTTTTTCTTGGAGGGTGGTGTCGAGTTGGTGCTGGAGGAAATTAGAGGAATCCAAAAATTCCTTCTCCGAAGCACATTTCTCCATCTGCAGTTGTGTCACCTGCTCCTTCAGTTTTTGTGTTTCAGCTTCTTGAGCCTTACATTTTAACATCTCCTCCTCCATTTCTGCAATAACAGAGATTTTCAGAACAAAGTTTTCTCTAAACTCCTCAATCTCTTTATGAGACCTGAGCAGTTTTTCCTTCAGCTTATAAATACCTTTCCTCAGATGCATCTCCTGGTCCTGCATCTTGGTCTTCAGTTCATCAATATAATGTTCAGCATCTAGAAAACAAGAGTTCATTACTTCTAATGTGTTCATGTTTTCATCGTCAACTTTTGAGAGTTCTGTGTCCATACCTTTTATGACGGAGTCCTTTCGTCGGCAGTCCTCTTCAGCACACATCTCCAAAGTCTTCACCTCGTCCTTTGCCGACTGCAGTTCTGCGCTGGTTTCTTGTAGAGAAAAATAGAGGCTGTTTTTCTCCTCAAGGGTGGTGTCAAGTTGGTGCTGGATCAAATTGGTGGAGTCCAAAAAGTCCTTCTCCATAGCGGACTTCTCCATCAGCAGTTGTGTCACCTGCTCGTTCAGTTTTTGTGTTTCGGCCTCTTGAGTCTTGACCAGGTGACTCCTCTCCTCCTTCAGTCTCTTAACCTCAGCCAACAAAGCCTGGTTTGAATCCTCTGCAAGAACCAAATTGTCCACCATGGCTTTGTAAAGCTGCTTTTTACTCCTATTTCTTCTAAAACACCACATCTTGTCAGTTTTGTATCGATGCTTTGTCAAACTGTGCTAACGGTTTACTCCACACGAATCAAATAAAGTAAATCTTGTCCTGTCTGTCTTCACACATGTAGACTTTTTCGGACCCATGGTTACGATGACAGAATGCTGGTTGCTGTGGTGATAGAATGTTCAGAACATGACATCGTCATGTTCTGTTGCCGTGGGAGATTCCATCTTAAGTTCAAGAAAATAAAAGAATAATTAAATGTGTCTTTTGAAACAAATTGATATATTTCACTGAGTGCTTTTTTTGGGCAATACAAAGTGTATGTCTTTGCCAACTCCGAATCACCAACGCAAAAGTAAAAGATGTGTAATGGTTACAGTATAAGGTATTATTATGTTGAAGTGTGTCATCCAAACACTGTACTGAAAATAAAATGAATTATTGCTTGAAGTTTAGCAGGTTCCATTGATGTAAGTGTATTTTGTTTTTTAACAATGGAACCTAAAGTTCTTCTAAACCAGAGGTTGGGAAGTTTCCAGGAGAAAGCCAAAAGGCTTTTACCTAAAAATGTGTTTATGTGGGAGCCAAACACATTTTTTGAATGTGTAATAAAAAAAAAAGTAGAGGTGAGATCTCAGAAGGTTTTATTTTGTTTAATATTCTTATGCTCCCTGTTGTTTTGTTTTGAATTTTACATTTTATGTATTGAATTATAAACAATTGAGTGGATAGCACTTGTCTGAGTGGAGTTTACATGTTCTACCCGTGTCTATGTAGATTTCCTCTCGGTGCTACCACCAAAAACATGTCCAATATTGAGGCTACAATCCAGAGAGGTCCAAACCAATGAAGCAATAAATAAATAAAAAAGCCATTCTAACTGTTTGTCCAGCTTTGGTTCAATCCAGGCAACTCTTTTTTTTCCAGATAAATCTAAGACTCAAGTTCAATAAAATAAGTTAAATAAATAAATGAATACAATAAAAAATAACCAGATGAAAAATATGGGCTAAAACAAACTGAGAAAAGTTTTACAAATAGAGAAAATGACTCTTGGCTGGTTTGTTTTTATCGTTTTGAGATGTTTTCCTCCCCATGTATAACTTTGGCTCACTCTGTAGGAGGCGCTATAACTGTAATTTCATAACTTTCATATCCAGGGGATGTAGACCCAGGAGTTGAGCGACAGATTCAAGTTTGGTGTTAATCAAACTTTGTATGAATAATACATTTCAAATTCTCAAGGTCGGGGAAAAAAGGTGCAGTATTGCCGCTCAGGTGTTTGCACGCTGCCGTAATCGCATCAGAAGATCATGTATATTTTGTGTATAGGAAGTGTTAGGATTTAGCAGACAGAGACGGATCGTGGTGTGCCAAACTCTGGAAGTTTATTTAAGTTTCTCTCAAGTTCCACTGGTTTACTCTGTTTCTTTTTCTCAGACAGAATAAAGGCAGTACACAGTTTATATAGTCATTGTCACGTCACACATCGAAAGACATACGTGTCACAAAGAGACAGTCAAATCATAGTCATAACATGGAGTCCTTGTAGAGTCCTTGTAGAGTCCTGCACGTAGGCCATATTGCTATCTAATACTAACACCCTCCCCTTTGATCACATAATCACATGTGATCACTCAAATTGATCAATCAATAAAGTGGAAAAAGAAGAAAAAATTCCAAAAAAAACTTCAAACAATTATTAAAAACAAAGAAAATGTATGCATTAAACTCATAATCATCAAATCAATATCAGTGGATTTTATCCTCTATCCTGGGAAAAAATAAACAAACAAAAACAAATCAAAAATAAAAACAAACAAAAATAAAAACAAACAAAAACTATTGGACACACAAGAACTCAGCAGATTCAGTCAAAACACAGACAAAAACGAGCTGAGTCTCAAATTTGAAGCTAATTTCACTTTTATTACTCTATACTTTTATTGTAATGCTAATTGTTTACACTTCACTCAATCTTATTTCACTGTATTATTTTCACTTTTTAATCTTAGACTGTGTACTTTACTTTCACTATTCACTATAGTTTAAAACTATTCTAATCTATTTACAAATATGTTTGCATATTTGATTATATTGAGCCATATTCTTAAACATACATTTTAATCTAATAAATCTCTCTGTGGTTTTATACTCTCATTATTAGTGGCTTATTATCAGTGGGATTTTGCTCCATGTCTATTCTCATTCTCAGGAATAAAACTGTGAACACAGTAAGGCAAATGGTCAACATTTACACTT